GTGTGTGTGTGTGTGTGTGTGTGTGTGTGTGTGTGTATAAGCTTGTACATGCAGAGTGCACATAATCCACATTTTTCTCTTTGCAGGAGCTGCTGCAGCTTGAGGACAGGTTGGGAAATGTGACTCGGGGAGCCGTACAGAACACCATCGAGAGGTTCACCTTCCCCCACAAATACAAGAAGGTGCGTCTGCAAGCAGGTCAGCCTGCATAGTTGAGGTGCTGTGGTTAGATGCTCTGAAGCTGTGATGCTTTCCCAGGGTCTTCTCCCTTGTCTCTGTCAGGTGTGACCAGGAGAGGAGATGGGGGTGCCTCTCATCATAAAAGAGGAGGGCTGGGTGTGTGGTACACATGGACTTGTGAGTAGGTGTATTAGGTAGGGGTACAGGTATGTGAATGTTTGTATCTGAATGAGGTGAGCCAAGGGAGCACCTGAAGTGAAGGCTGAGATTTGCCTTAGAAGAGAATTCCAAGTCCAATCCCCTGTGTGGACAAATAGGCAAGTAAGCCTTCAGAGCAGGGGTTTCCAATCCTCACTGACCAGCAGGATCAGTTGGGGAGCTTTTAAAGCCACACGTTTACAGGCTCTACCCTAAGCCTGTAGAGGTAGATTCTCCAGGGTTATTGCTCAGGAATGTGGAGTAGGATTAGAACCCAGGGATTTGATTTTTAAAACATTTTAACATTCAAATAAATAAAAAATTTTTGGTAGCAACCAAGATGTCCTGCAATGAGTGAATGAATAAACAAACAAACTGTGGTACATCCATACAATGGAATATTATTCCATGATTTTTAAAAATGAGCTATTAAACCATGGAAAGACATGTGGGCACCTTAAATGCGTATTACTAAGTGAAAGAAGCCAGCCCGAAAAGGTGGCATACTATATGATTCAACTATATAGCATTCTGGAAAAGGTGAAACTAAACAGTTAAAAGATCCCTGTTGCCAACGGCTTTGGGGAGGGAAAATAAATGAGCACGTGGGTGACTGGGTATTTTTAGTGAAAGTATCATACGTACTGTAATGGTGGACACATGACATTGTGCATTTGTCAAAACCCATAGAATTCTACAACACAAAGAATGAACCCTAACGTAAACGAATGTTCTTCAGTTAATAACTGTGTATCACTATTGGTCCTTCAGTTGTAACAGAGATACCACATTAATGCAAAATGTTAATAATAGGGAAAATGTGTGTGTGTGCGTGTGTGTGTGTGTGTGTGTGTGTGTGTGTGTGTGTGGTGTTGAGAGGGGGAGGGATTTGGGAATGCACTGTGTTTTCTGCTCAGTTTTAATGTAAACTAAAACCGCCCTACAAAATAAATTCTATGGAAACAAGTATTAAATAGTTTTAAAATTTAAGAATTAAAAGCTTGGCAAGTGCTGAGAAACTTGGAGTGGGAAAATGCTCATGGTGGTCAGGCCAGAGCCCATCCTCACTTCCTCATGAGGTGCTAGGGTGCAGTGGTTGTGATCACCCGGCGTTGAAGTCGGACAGGGCCAGCTTTTAATTTCAGTGTTACCACTGTCTTTGGGCTGCTATAACAAAATACTACCAGCTGGAGGGCTTAAACGGCAGCCATTTATTTTTTGCAGTTCTGGAGGCTGGGAAGTCCAAGATCAAGGTGCTGGCAGATTTAGTTCTTGGTGATGGCTCTCTTCCTGCCTTGCAGACGGCCGCCTTCTGCTGTAACCTTACATGGCAGAGAGAGGAAGCTCTGGTGTCTTTTCCTCTTTTTATAGGGGCACTAATACCATCCCAGGGGCTCTGTCTTCATGGCCTCATCTAAACCTAATTAGTCCCCAGAGGCCCCATCTCCTGGTACCATCACATTGGAGCGTAGGGCGTCAATATGTGAATTTGGGGATGGGAGGCACAGACATTCAGTTCATAACCACTGCTGATAGCTAGGTACTCTGGACAACTTACTTGGCTTTTCTGGCCCCTTCTCTGACCTTTATAATGTAAAACGGGAATGATGTGTTAGTAGCGACCATAAAGGATGCTCCAGGGATTCAATGGGACAATGCATAGAACAGCTTAGTACAGTGCCTGGTATCTGGTGAGTGACCGGGAATGGTGAACCACTCTCACCTTGATACAAGGTTCACTTGTTCTAGGCTTGCCCAGGTATCCATGCAGTCAGTGTCAAACACTATGAATCTTGGTCTCTGCAGACCAAGATAGAGGCATTGGATTCACCCGTAAGTGATTTCAATCAACATTTATTAACCTCGATGTGTCCTATATGGGTAGTGTGTTCGTAGAGGAAATGACAGTGTTTCAGTAACTAAAGGTGTCAGCTCCAAGTGGAAAACGATCATTCTCTGCAGGGAGAGCTTTAGGCTACTGGAGGAGAACATGGAAGGAATGAGTGATGTGTTCAGGAGCCCGGAGCAGCTTCCGCATCACCGATTAGGGTGTCCTCACTCCTGCCAGGGCCACACCCTCACCTGCCCTCGTGGCAACAGGCCGTGAGGAGACAGGAACAGAACACACACTGAGAATGAGAAGGGAATGTGGACCAAGCCAATGATATAAAGAATTGAGGTAAAAATGATGAGACTAAAGGGACAATTAGGGGAATAGAATATTATAAAAAAGACACCAGAAGAATTAAAAATGTGAAATGATAAACTTTAGGACCCACCCAAGTAAATTGTGAAAAAAACTTTGAAAATGTGAACTGAGAGGGGTGCCTGGGTGGCTCAGTTGGTTAAGCATCCAACTCTATCTTGGCTCAGGTCACGATCTCATGGTTTGTGGGTTCGAGCCCCACATCAGGCTCTGTGCTGATGGCTGTCTCTCTCAAAAGAAATCAATAAACACATTTAAAAAAATTTTAACTGAGAGTCAAGTAATACAAAACAAAATGAAAAATATTTTACAATGGTGATATAAGAATAGAATATATAAAATAAATCTATTCATGTAGAAAAATGTAAAAAATAAGAATTAGGCAAAGAGGGGCGCCTGGGTGGCGCAGTCGGTTGAGCGTCCGACTTCAACCAGGTCACGATCTCGCGGTCCGTGAGTTCGAGCCCCATGTCGGACTCTGGGCTGATGGCTCAGAGCCTGGAGCCTGTTTCCGATTCTGTGTCTCCCTCTCTCTCTGCCCCTCGCCCGTTCATGCTCTGTCTCTCTCTGTCCTAAAAATAAATAAACGTTGAAAAAAAAAATTAAAAAAAAAAAAAAAAGAATTAGGCAAAGATATGAAAGCAATAGGGGGGTGCCTGGGTGGCTCATTGTTTAAGGGTCTGACTCCTGATTTAGGCTCAGGTCATGATCTCATGGTTGCTGAGTTTGAGCCCTGCTCAGGCTGTCCACTGACAGCGCAGAGCCTGCTTGAGATTCTCTCTCTCTCTCTCTCTCTCTCTCTCTCTCTGCCCCCCCCACTTGCACACTCACTCTCAAAAATAAAATAAACACTTTTTAAAAAAGATATGGAAGCAACATACAGAATTAAAACCAATAACACTGACGTGAAAAGGTATTGTGCATGAGGACAAAGAGGGACAGACAGAAGGAGTAAAATAAATATGAAATAAATGCTGAGAAAAGTTACTGTTAAAATAAAAGTTACATGGAAGAGAAGAGAAGAAAAAACCCAGAAGACCTAAAAGATTACAAACACAAAAGAGAAAATAGGAAAAGATTCGAAAAGAGACCATCATTAAATATAGATTAGACATGGTAAAACAAGGTAAGACAATTAGGTTTAAATCATTAGCTATAAAAAGGAAATCATGAATAATGGTCGGGAGAAACAATAGAAAATAGGCAAATAGTGACTCTTATTAGTGTCGTTTATGGAATATCCCTTTTCTCAAAGGAACAGCTAAAAGAAAGCCACTCCCCACCAGAAACACAGCTGGGCTGTTAGGCAGACCGACTGTCATGACTCCGTTCAGACTCAAAAGCCATGGTGGTTATATGTGACTAAGGGCGTAATTTTGATTTTCTGGATTCTAGATAAGGGCACACTTATGCAGTGGCCATCGCATGGTTTGCAGTTAGCGTGTGCAGGGCACAGGGAGGCTGAGGGCAGAAGCTTAGAGTTTCTTCAGTGTTCCAGGGAGGCTACGGTACTCTGGACGCCATATCACACTGGGGATCTCCAGGGCTTTGGACCAGGGACCAGAGTGGGGAAACCTGGCCCCCAAGCCTGGCATGAAGCTTACAGTCATTCTGTGCATGTTTCTAATCTTGTGACTTCAGATTTTTCTCTTGGCAAGAATGGCCTTTACCCCTGCTTCTCTTTGGAAAGGGGCCAGAAGGGCTAGTTTTCTTCCCATGGATATTCTCAGACTGTTTCACTGCACAGCATGGAGATGAGGACAAGAAACATGGCTGGTTTCATTCACTGATTAGATTCCTTGCTCTCCAGAATATGTTTTTAAGCACCAGTGATGTGCCTTCTACTTGGCCAAGTGTGGAACAGTACCTAAAGAAGGGTGGATCATGGTCCACAGCATCTAAGAGCTTGGAACTTCCTGTAAACTAGTTAACTATTTTCAAGTAATTAGCATAGAATTTAAAACAGGACAACTAAAGTCAGTAAGTATAAACAGAATGTTTGATGTCCAGACTTGCGTTTGGAGCTGTTGCCTATGCTAAAGGAACTTTCTGGATAGGAAGAGATCCAACAATATAAAAATATAGGAGTTAATGCCAGGTTGAGGAGTTTTGCCTTCATCTAGTAATAGATGAATAAATGAGTAGACACTAGTTGAGTGGAAGAGAGGAAGGAAGGGAGGGAAGGAGGGAGGGAGGAAGGAAGGGAGGGAGGGAGGAAGGAAGGAAGGGAGGGAAACAGGATGGATGGATAGGTGGATAGATGGATGGATGGAGGTTTAAATGGGTGGATGGATGGGTGGAGCTTGCTGGACCTGAATGTGAGGGAAAAGCCTGGAGGCAGGGATCTATGTTGGAAAGGATGTAAGGAGGATGGAGAGTATGAGGGGAATAGAGCAAACCGTTCATGCACAAACCATTGTTTTGCGAAGGATCGATTCATTAGGCACCCACTTGCTGTCCAAACCCTATGTGCCCTCGGCCAGCATACCACCCCTGTATCCTGAGGCAAGGAGGAAGAGTTGGAGAGGAGGCCAGGAGAAGGGTCTAGCGACAGCACACCAGCCTGGGGTTTCCTTAAGAACTTAGAGAGACACTGACTTACATGTAAGGGAGGGAAGGCTGTGGATGAAAGACAGTAGGCACCAGGTGCGTCTGCTCCAGGTAACTAACGCCCCTCCTCTTCTCACAGCGAAGACCCCAGGATGGCAAGGGCAAGAAGGAAGAGGGGGAGGAGTCAGACACAGATGAGAAATGCACAATTTGCCTGTCTATGCTGGAAGATGGAGAAGATGTGAGGTAGGAGGCCAGACTCTTCTGTTCCCCCTCCCTTCCCGCACAGGCATTTGCGATCAGTCACCTGCTGTATGTCAGGGGTGTGGTGCTTGCTCACTTGTGCATGTGTGTGCTGGGCGTGCCACAGTGTGCCGCGTGGTTGCTCCCGGCAGGTGGGTGTGGAACACCGGAGATATGCGATGTCTATGGTGTGGACTGGTGGACACAGAGTGTGAGAGACCAGGGTGATATTTGGCCTGGATGGGTCTAAGACAAAGTCATGGCTTTGTTTTTGGCTGGTCTGAAAGGGCTTCGTGGAGGAGGGCCTTGTCATGACTTCCCATCCCAGCCACAGCCTCGCTCTGGAACAGGGCTCCCCACACCCTCTTTGGCCCATCCCCCGTGGTGTTGGTGTGGTCCCCAGTCCAGTGAGAGCCGGTGTTGCTCCGCCTCTGGCCCCGCCCCGGGCCCCTCTCTTTCCACCAGTCCTCTGACCCTCCCTTCTCTTCCAGGCGCCTCCCCTGTATGCACCTCTTCCACCAACTGTGTGTGGACCAGTGGCTCGCCATGAGCAAGAAATGTCCCATCTGCCGAGTGGACATTGAGACACAACTGGGAGCCGACAGCTGAGGGAGGAATTAGCCAGTGGACACCCCATTTTCCTTCACCAGGTCCCCCCCACGGCCATAGCCCTTGCAGCCAAACTTTGCCTTCTGAGCCATTTGATGTAGAGGAAAAGCCTGCAAGCACATTTTGTGGAAAGAGGAGTTGGCGGTATCAGTGTCTGAGGGAAAGGAGGGGTGGGGGGGCGACCCCCCCCCCATCCAGAGCGGTGACTGCCCCCATCCACCTCGCTGCGCGGGAGGGAGCTGGCCGTGCCCGGAGCAGGGGTGGGAAGGGGGGGCCCACGCTGCTGAGAATCTGGATGCGAACTGGAAGGTCCTAGCTGATAGACAGGCCCCTCAATCCTGTCCTTTGAAGGATTGTGTATATACCTCTCGACCACGTAGAAACCATGTAGGGGTCTCTAGCTATTTCTGTGGATGGCAGCCGGAGCATGTTAGCTTAAGAAAAATGTTGTGTGTGGTGCTCTAGTCATCTTGTGGTGGACATGTCGCTATTACGAATTCGCACCAAATATTTCTCATTGAGTTCCTTGTTTTGGTGCCTGACTGAACCAACCAACGACAGCCCAAATCTTCCCGTCTTTATGAGAAAAAAGGAAAAAGGAATCAAAGGTGAAAAAAAAAAAAAAAAAAAAAAAAAAAAAAAAAAAAGCCAAATCCTGTTTCTGGTGAAAAAGGATGATTTTTTTTTTTTTTTTCACCCGGGTTGGGAGGCGGGAGGGGGGTGGTTCTTGTTTTGTTTTTGGTTTTGTTTTTTCCTTTGCTTTTGTTTTTCTCATGTTTACAGTGCACGGAGTGTGGAAGGGGAGCGTCTGGGGAAGGGGAGGGCAGGAAAAGGGGGAGATGGCGGCTTCGCTGGGCACCCGAGGGGCTCAGCCAGGGCGAGGAAGGCAGAGTTTGGGTCAGTGAAAGGGGAAATTCTGTCTTGAAGGAGGGCTCCCCAGTTCCAGGGCACATGCACTTAGTTCCAGCCATGTCCCGGGTCCCACGGTCCCCTGTGGAACTAGGGCGGAGCTAGCTTTCCGCTCGAGTTGCCCCCGTGTTCCTCAGAGCCAGGACGTCCCTGTGTATGCCACCTTCTTCCTTTTGGCTGTGTGTATGCCCTGTCACAAAGAGGCGATTTGGCCACGGCCTCCCTATGCAAAAAATTCACTGGATGATGAAGATATGATAGTACAGCTGGTGGTGGACCCTTGGCCTTGGCCAAAGTGCTCTGGCTGGCACTCAGGGGCTGGGGTCAAACACCCTGGACCTGGGGGAGGACTTCTGCTTCCTATGGGATGTCTCAAATCCCAGTGGAGTCCCTCAGAGATGGCCCTGGCCCCGAGACGGTGTCAGCTGGGCTTGGGAGGCCCTGTGTCCCTAGTCTCTGGCTCTTTCTGTCTTTGATGACCTTGGGCAAGTCCCTCTATTTCTCTGTGCCTCATTTGCCTTCTCCTGAAAGGGGGAGAAATGACAGTCCTCCCTATCTCCACTTCTTCGCCCTCACCTACATGTTGTGAGGACTGATAACCATCCACTCAACGCATTTGTGCTGTGTCCTGGGACCCTCCTGGGGGTTTAGGGATGGGAGTGGTGAGAGACAGAGATCCGGAAGTTCCAAGCGACACCACCCAATGTGTCTTTCTGCACCACCCCGCGACTTTTCTGAACCTCAAAGGGAGCAGGGAGATGGGAGGACAGAAGAATGGAGATGGGAAAATCCACCAAAACCCAACCCCAACCCCAACCCAGCTTTCTTTATCCATGTGCAGAACACCCCAGCCTAGCTGAAATTCTGCTCTCTTCCTTTACCCCTCCCCCTCCCTTATTTGCACTGCCCTCGAAGCCTCCCCCTCTCCTCGCCCCTCCCCCATCTCAATGCCCTCATCTCAGTAAGAGAAGACTAAGCAGGACAGGATACTTATCCCCTATATGAAGAAATTCTGTAAGGTTAAGGGTACGACCAGTACCAATGGGTTAAAAATGACTGAGAGGCAGATTTTGGCTTGAGGTAGAACCTTCTAGCACAACCAGAGCTGTCGGGCAGAGGCATGGCTGTTCTGGACACCTGCAGGCACAGAATGGGGATGTGGCTTCTGGGGGAAGGGTTACTCAAGGATCTTACTCAGACTGAAGCCTCTTCCAGCACCAATACTCTCGTGTTCTATAAAATCTTTCCTGAGTGCCTGCTCAGTGCTGGGAGAGGGGACAGTGTCCCTGTCTTGAGGAGCTTACAGTTTAGCCAAGGAGGCAAGACACGTACAATAGCACAAAAGTGGTGAGTCACTGACACAGGGTTAACAGCAGCGAGCATTACGTCGTCCAGTTCCATAGTTCAGTGCATGAACTCTCTCCAGGGCTGAAGGCTGGAGAACCCACCAGTGCAGAAAGTGCTTCCCAATCAGGATTTGGGGGGGGAAAGCTCATCACTAGTAGCCACAGGAAGCTGGGACTTCTCCCCAGCTTGCTTTGGACCGGGAGGCAGCCAGGGTGGTCTAGGGAAGGTCACTCCCCTCTTAGTCTGGGACTCTTGTTCTCTCTGAGGCTGGTTCAGAAGGCTAGCAAGTAGAGGGAGTCGGTGCGGAGCCAGATGGCACGAGGGCTGGTGTCCGCGGGTTCTAGTCTTGGCTCTTCAGTGACCAAGCGCGTAATGCTGGAAACCTCCTTCTCTCTGGGCCTCAGTTTCCTCAGCTGCGACGCAAGGAGTCTGGATCGGATGCTTGCTAAATTTCCTTCTGACACTCACATTCTCTGATCCTCCCTGACATCAACACATCCTTCAAGTGGTAGGGCCACGTGCCCACCGAGCTGTTGAAAACAACTTCCTGTGGGCACCAACATCTGTCTCAGGGGCTGAGAGTGGGAGTGCGGTCCCCTCCTCCTCCCTGTTCTGGGCACGCTCTGAGTGCCCCAGGCCAACACTAGGCACTAACTGGGGTGGGCATCACCCAGTGGGGAGAGGTCAGCCGCTGACTATGGGGGTGGATCCTGAAGCCCTCCTCCCCTCCCCATCTGTCTGGGGCCCTCGCACCTTGCAGGGGGGGCACAGGAGGGGACGTGGACTCAGGCTCCTGCCAGCTCCAGGCTCCTTAGCCGGGCAGCTCTCTGGGTGAGAAGACAGGAGAGGGGTCTGTGCTTCTGCTCCCTGGAAGCCCCCTCTCCCTCGCCCAGGAGCCCGGGAAGACGGAGAAGAGGCAGGCTTGGGCCTCAGCATCTTGTACCCACCACCTCCGGGAGGGGAGACCCCCGGTAGTCCTCCTACTGCTCAACTCAAGGGACTCAGACCCTTTCTTGACTGAGACGCATGAGTGCCTTCTGGGGCGAGAGCCACCCCAGGATTCAAGTTGGGCCTCCCAGCCGCAGTGTAGCCCTGGCCGCAGCGGGTTGCAGAGGACGCCAATCAACGAAACCAACGCCACAGCCACAGCCACAGCCAGCGCCGGCTGGCGCCAGCAGGGGGGCGGGCCAGGGCGCGGGGCTCCTCTACTGGCCCGGACACCTGGCCCCCGTGGCCCTGGCCCAGCAGTCGTGACAGGACTCAAGCTACTCTTCTGCAAATGTCCCAGCCTCCCTGCAAGTATTCTCAACTCTTTACGCCTAATGAACAAGCACAGTTTTTTCAATGGTGAAGAAAAAGCACCAGATCTTTTTTTCTTTCTTTTTTTTTTTTTTCCTGAAGAAATCCCCCAAGCCCCCCGCCCGCCGGCGGGACAAACACTCCCCGCGTGGGGCTGTAGCAACGTCTGTCAGGTCCCCTGTCGTGTTTCATCTCCTGCGCGTAGAGCAAATGCTAGAGCGATTTCAGCTGATAGAAAAACAAAAATGAAAAAAAAAAAACACAAAAAACAAAAAACATGGCACGTTGCTAGTTTACAGGGTTTTGTGAGTTTAAATGCCTTATATTTAACAATCATAATTTATGACTAACTTGTAGATATCGTGGGTTCTTATTTAATTATTTTTATAGTTGTTTTGCATTTTTAATTATAATTTATTTATTTAGAAAGGATACTAATTTTTTTTATTACTCCTATTACCTCATTTTGGCGTTGTTTCTGGGAGTGGAATGCTTTGCATGCATTGGTACGATGACAAACAACTATGAATACGAAAAAAAAATTTAAATAAAATTCCGCGAACTTTATTTCGTCCAAACTATCAGGGTGTGTGATTGCAAGCTGTCCTACTGTGGTGCTGGCCTCTTTGGATACATTCCATACGAAATGCAAACCTTTGATTCTGTATGCTGTGACCTAGTGAAAAACTCCAATATAGTGACTGTATTTAGCACATATATAAATATAATTTGCACTCGTCAGCAGACTGGGGTAATCCTTTCACTTGCTACCCCTGCCCCCTCCCCAGCCCCCTCACCATTAACCTATTTTTCTTTCTTCCCTAACCCTTCCCACGACCTCAGCCGACCCTGCCTCCGAGGAAGGTCAGGGGCCCCTAGGGGTCACTCTCTCCACCTGGGCTCCGTATCTCTCTGGTTCCAGAACTGGGCCCTTCAGACATTACCAGCTGGGGCATCTGAAAGCCAAAATCTGAAAGCCTGATTTATTAGAAAGAGTCCTGGACTGGGGAGTCAGGAGGCTCAGGTTCTCAGACCAGTTTTATTGCAAACTTGCCTGTGACCTTGAGCAAGTCGCTTGGCCTCCCTGAGTCTCAGGGTTCTGGGCAGAGGTGAGGGAGGCAAAAGGGAGGGTGTCTAGGGTCCCTCAGACCCAGATAGACTAGGATACAGACCCAGTGGGGACCCCTCGCTGGGCTTTCTCAACCTCTCAGGAGAGAAGGAAGGGGAAGAGAAAGGATGGAGGGGTGGAGAGAAGGAGATGAAAGAAAAAAGGAGAGAAAGAGAGCGTCCTGAGAATTTATTCAGTGGATTTGCTCACAGTAGACACCGGGAAAGGGTTTTGTCCTTTTATATGCAGCATCCCGCGGGAGTCAGGGAGGCGGGATAGGTAGACACATCCCCAGACGCAGGACGTGTGCTTTCACGGGGTTCCGTGGTCATTTGCA